AGGCCCTGGCGTGCGGCTTGCAGCTGCACAGCACGTGGGGGAGGGTCTCGGCCGCATAGCCGGCCGAGACCCTCCAACAGTTCTGCTCCAACAGTTCTCCTGCTACCCTGGCAACTGCTTTCATCTCAAGCAAGTGTTCCTCAATACCCAGGCAATGAGATCAAGTTTCCCCCTACACTCCTTCACCACAGTCATCTCACTTCGCATAACCTGATGGTCTTTATTCCAGCTGGTATTCTCTTGTGCTGATTACACCATGTAATGGTATGTCTTCCACTCCTTGAGAAAAACACATGAACAGGACTGGTGTTCAAAGGGAGCTACCCTTGTATTAGTTTTGATGGAATAGGCCTGAAAGTCCAAAGTATTAACATGAGCCTATCACATTACAACACTAAACAGGTACACAAAGGTTTGAGATTTTGCCTAGAGGGGCCTTAGCTTGCTTATTCCTATAGCAAATAATTGCTGTCTAAAACCATTTTAACTTTATTACAAATGCAGAAGAAAAGGAAAAAAAATAGCAAAAGTATTTGAAACATTAAAAATTCATGTTCTTCCTGCAATAATACTCTTTATTTCCAGCTTTTTAAGCTGCAAAGTATCTTCATCAGGAAAAAAAATATTTTTTGACAGTGTGCTTTTTGATTGGGCTGGTTCAATTAAGGATGATCCTGCCTCAAGCAAAGGGGCTGGGTTAGATGATTTTTATGAGGTCCCCTGCAGCCCTTCTTTCTTATGATCCTTTTGGCGAAAATATGAAAAAGTTAAGATGCACTGGAGTTCTTGTTGCTACAAGTACTATCCTGCCATAGAGATTTTTACTCCACAGCAGCACACATGTAGATGTTGGAGGAGCTATCTGGGGCATGAGGATGCTTCAGTGCTGGAGCTACCTGCTAGCTAGCCCTACACTGTAGCACCCTTGTGCCGCAGCCAGCCCCTCTGTAGCATGTTGAGCCAAGTCAAAGCAGCACCCCCCAGGCTCCCTGCCAGCCAGGACTGCTCTGACCTGGCTCAGAATGCTGCAGTCCCGGGTGTACGTATAAACGGCATGCACGGGAGCAATACACTTCAGCACAATAACACCAGAGTTTACTGCTCCATATTAACTGCATGTGTAGACTTGCCCATTCTTACTTAACAGGAAGTAGAGGAGAAAGATTGTGGGGAGGGAGGATAGGAATAAGAAAGAGAAGGAGAAAGACACCAGTGGCAGTAGAAAAAAGTTTCACAGTCAAGCTGGTGGTTGGGATTTAATCAATGCCTGTGATATTATTGGTGATGTCACTGGTCATGATATCATCAGTGATATAATTGTTTTCCTCTCTATACCCTGGAACCATCCACTCAGAGCTGACCCAAGCAGGGTGCAGGGCCCAGGGCAAATCAGCCCATGTGGGGCCCAGCCCCCACTCCAATCCCACGCCTACTTCCCCCCCCACCCCCCACCCACCCCAGGGATGGCCCTGCGTCCACTTTCTAAGGGAATACATTCCTCTAGTTCATGCCAGTGTTAGTATGGGCGAGCACATGTGTAATAAATACAGATCTACAGAATTACAGCTTTCCTTCCCCTAGTATCCTGAACAAGGTTCTAGATGGCTCATGGGGTTTTCCAAGCCCGAAACTATGTTTCTTTGCCTGGATAGGGCAGTTCCAGGTATCCCTGCTGAGCTCCAGAGTTGTTTTAATGGAAGCATGGATTCCCTGATGCTCAGCAGGGAATCTCTTGGAAGGACTCTTGTTCTGTCTGTATTAGTCCCTCCATTCACATTTTTCTAAGGCCTAGTTGACACTCCAAAGAGTTTAGTCAAAGAAGTCAGCTTCAGTTGCCACAGGTTTTCAGGCATCCCTCCAGAAAACAGGGCACTCTTAGCTGCCTCAATGATTTTCCCATTCTATAGAGAGATGCATGCCCTGCCTGTCAGGGACCCAGCCGCCCCTCTGGGTGAGGGTGCATACTTCAGGCAAGGCAGAGGAAGAAAATTCAGCACTTTGTGGAGAGGAAGGAGGATGCTGAGGGGTATATACAGCACCTGTGTACCTCCTTGACCTCTCCATCTTCCAAAATCACATTCAATAGCTGGAGTGCACCTCAGATGGTAGGGGGATCTCCATTTGTAGCCCACACAGTATCCTGTTTACAGATTTATGCTCCAGGGGCCCAAAAAGTATGTTGGGACCCCCCAGAATCACAAATGGCGTTTCAACTCACCAAGCTAAATGTATGCCAGAACAATGCATATTCTCCAGTAAACCAATGCTAAGACCGATGAAAGATCTTTCTTCCTAGAACTTTGAGCACAGCCCCTTTCACCTCCCTGTTCCTCAGGCTATAGATGACAGGGTAGAGCATAGGTGTGACATTGGTGTAGATCAATGACACCACCTTGTCCTGCTCCAGGGCATAGCTGGCCTTGGGTCGGATGTAGATGAAAATGGCGCAGCCATAGTGGAGGACAGCCACCACCAGGTGAGCAGCACAGGTAGAAAAGGCCTTCCTACATCCCTGGGCAGAGCGGATGCACAGGATAGATGCAACAATGAGCATATAGGAGGCCAGGATCAGCAAAAAAGGCACCAGCAGGGCCAGAAGACATGACACAAAGACCAGGATCTCATCAGCATGGGTATCAGAACAGGCCAGCTCCAGCACAGATGGGATGTCGCAGAAGAAGTGGTTAATCTCATGGGAGTGGCAGAAGGGCAGACAGAAAATCAGAACAGTGAGTCCCAGTGACAGCAGGATACCACAAGCACAAACCACAACCAAGAGCTCCAGGCAAAGGGGTCGGCTCATAATCAAGGTGTAGGGGGTTGCAGATGGCCACATAGCGGTCATAAGCCATGACAGCCAGCAAGAAGCACTCAGAGGTTCCCAAGGCAATGAAGAAATACATCTGTGTGGCACAGCCAGTCAGGGTAATCTTGTGGCTCTTGGCCAGGAAGTTGACCAGCATCTTGGGTATAATGACCAGTGTGTAGCAGATCTCAATGGCAGACAAGTTACGCAGGAAGAAATACATAGGGGTGTGCAGTGAGGGGTCCACCAGAGTGACCAGCACAATGGTCATGTGACCCCCCAAGGTGAACAGATGCATGATGAAGAACAGCCCGAAGAGTGGCAGCTGGTAGGAGGGCAGGCTGGAGAAGCCCAGAATGATGAAGTCTCCAGCTATGCTGAGGTTCCCTCCACTCACATCCATGGCATCACAGCATCTACAATTTATGAAGAAGAGTGGATGTAAATAAGGGGCTGACCTATCCCTGCCAGAAAGGAAAGGTCATGGTCCCTAGGTAATGGGCATATGAAATGACATGGCAAGAAACCAGCAAAGGGAAGACAACAAAGAACCAAAGAGAACTGCACTTCTCCATGGGGAGAAGCTGACATGGGGAAACTCCACGGTACTAAAGGTAAAGGAAAAGAGAGCCTGTAAAGGTGGCTTAGGTTACTGATGACAAAACATTGTTGTGGGCAGTCAGGAATAAACTACTTCCACTCTCAGGGGGGCTGGCCATAGGTGGATCCAGGATCTCAGTAAGGGGAGTGTGGCCATACCTCTTGTGAAAAGTGCCCACTTTACATGTGCCACACAGCCAAAGGGGATGTGGTTGCACCCCCCTTGCTGCAACCCTAGATGTCTGTGAGCTCAAAGAGCTCTGAGCTGACCAGCTGGTTATGCAAGGTCTTGTCAATGCCATTCACCACCCTTTCCCCTTCCCCCTTTGAATTCACCAAGAGGGGGAAAGAGGGAATGAGCGGCAGCAGTGCTCAGCCCCTGCTTTTTAGCAGCTCCAAGCCCAGTGGGTGACCCTCACTGCTCTTTC